TTACCAGTGTCCAAACGACCACCTGTCATCACCAAGCTACTCTGTGAGTTTGCCATTCAGCCAGCACCCCAAGGCACACTTCTAAGGTTAACTGTATCATTCCTTGCCTTCTCTCAGCCAACATGTTGTTGTCTCTTACGGCAGGTTCTTTGACTTACGTCACCCAGTACACTTGCTACTGCGTGCCGACAGAGATGGACAAAAGGGAATAAACCCAACGTTGCGGTCACTGTATCCTCATAGCTGACAGTCAGCTGGGGACCAGACCAGGGATCCTGCTGTGAGAAAAGTACTTATGACTTCATTTTTTTTTCATGCTGTTCACTGGGCTGATGCTCAAACATCACAGACTTGTTTACAACAGTGAAATGCTCCCACAGATGCACAAATCAAGGACCTTTAAGGATTTCAACTTTAAACAGAGAGTAATGTTATATTGCACATTATTGTATTTTTTTTTTTTTTTTACAGTTTATTCATGACACTATTTAATGACCTCTGTAATAAACGATTTGCCTCAGTTCTATGTGTAATTGTATAAATGCCATTGGAGTAGTATGGGCCTGTGAGACTGAGGTGCTGTGTACATAACCACAGGGGCCTTATAATGATGAGCACATTTTGTTCGATGAACTTAGCCATTGAACCTAAAAATACTGCACACTGTATGCATGAGTGTGCAGTATCTCACCAGAGAATTCACATCATAGTCATATTCACCTCCTGAATGGAAAAAGCAAAGAAAATTAGTTTTATATCCTGCTAAGAGAAAATGTTAACTCATCACCCTGATGTCATTACTTTTATGTAATTCTGGTGCCATTGTCCGTTTGTTTTGTTTTTTTACCTTTTAACTTGCTATATTTTGAATTAGAACACTGGTTTTTCCATTTGCTGTAATAATCACATGGCTGAGGAGGGTTGTGTCTAAAACTGAAGGATGTGTAGCCTTCCTGTTGCATTACTGTGCATAGCACTAAATCAGCTGACTCAAAATTCTTTACAATGCTCAATATCAACAGCATTTTAGTTGTCCATTGCAGTGCTGTCTTTAAGTCCAGTTGTGTACTGTACACCCTGTTCTAAATGGGAACAAGTAAACTGCTCTTATAAACAATCCGTATTTTAGCTCAAATGGCACCTCTTGGTTTCAAGTGCTTCATCTTGTGCATTAAGTGAAGGGAAGTGAAGCTTTAATGTGCAGTAATGCAATTACAATTGTTAGACCACTTCACTGCTCATTATTACCTTACACAGGAAATGAGACTTTCCTTTAGTGCAGATACAGAGTCTGTTTTTAAAACTAACACTTTATGCAGAATTTCAGACCAGCTGGGACTGGTTGTCTACATTCACCTGTTGCAGGCCTATCTCACAGATAGCTCAGATAATGTCCTGTTGTAACACAGTTGCCAACATTTCTGTGGTTTAAGAACATGCTCATGAATCAGACAGAATATTCTTAGGACATTTCTTAAGAACAACCTACAAAGAAATTTAAGAAAGCATTTAGGAAGTTTTTGGTAAATGTGGCCCATTGGTTTTACTGATGCACATAGACCTCTTCAGCTGTGGCTCACTGGGTGATGCCGTCTTTGGACCTTGAATTACTACATATGTTAAATCTCCACTCCGAGTAGAGAATTTAAGTTTTATAATTGATTGAGTACTTTGTCCTAACAAACATAACGCAAATCAAATTCTTAAAACGAACACACCTGTGCATTTACCATATTGAAAAAATTGACACGTTTTATTTTGAAAGCTTTTTATACACATCTACATATTTACAAAAATTTTATTCCACAAGCATCCGAGAGAAACAACCTGAACTTCGAGGGGAATTGGAGCCACACTCGCATACCCATAACAATGCTTTCACATTAAGCAAATTATAATTACACACACACACACACACACACACACACACACACACACAATGCAAACACCCTAAAATGCAACCACACACAGCCCAAGACATCTCACTAACAGAAGTGTTAACAGCAAAAAGCATACAAGGCATATCACACTAATGCGCCACATTTCTAACACACATCAACCTCGAACAAACACCCACACACACAAATACACTCCACACCAGAAAAACTATTAAAAAAAAAAAAAAAAAAAAAAAAACATTGGACCCTTCTGGAAATAACACCTACTCTTTCAAAATCTATGTAGGAAAGACAGAGGCATAGATTATGTGTATGCACTTTCTCAACAATGACATATTAATGACTTTGGCATATAAAATTTAACTCACTGAAAACACCGGGTGCCAACACCATAGTTAACGCGATATGTTTATCAGTGAGATTTAACTGAAATTAGGAAATCAAATTCATAGAAACTGATGAATGCTACGCTTTGAAGATTTCTTCAACAATATTTTAGGCATGTTTCTAGATGCTGTGCCATTCTAGCTCTTGTTTTCCTCCACTCTTGGCTACACAGAGGTCTACTGAGTATGGTGTTATCTGTGGGGAGGGCACTGGGAAGATCCACTGACAGGCAGGGGGTTAAGGGGTAGATCAATCCGAACTGTATTTGTCTCCATCATCATCCTCGTTGTCACCTTCACCATGGTAGCCCGGCTCATGGAGCACTTCTCTCTGGTAGCGCCCCCAGCTCCTCCGGCTATACGAGTGCTCCTCCTCCCAGTAGCCTGCATACACAAGGCAGACACCAACCAGTGAATGACAGGAGGGATGGTGTAAAATGTCTAGCATTTGGAAATGTGTTTGTACTAAAACGATTAAGAAAAACTTTTAAAAAAAAAAAGAGCAACAAGCACAATTCACCTTAAGTGACAAGCATTCACATTATCTAAAATGTTGTGACTGTGTAGGCTTTGGAGATAAATATACAGGTTTGGTTTTTTTTGTTAATGCATACCACCATAGCGCTCCTCTCTGTCACTATCTGTGTCACTTTCCTCGTCGGGGTAGTCATTCCTCCAGTTGCCTTCCTCGTTTTCATCATCCTCATCATCATACACCTCCTCTTCATGAGCCACTAGTTCAGGCACCTGGGATTAAAAAAAAAAAGTATTTATCTGTAAGCCTCAGCCTTGCTGATGCCTTATTTCAAAATAAATCAGCCTCAGTTTAAGTTAGACTTAGCACTTTCATTTTGTTCCACTGGCCAACTTTTGGAGTCACCTGCTGGGTACTTTAAAACTTGCAAGATACATTTTTTCCAATCCCTCTGTCGGGAATGCAGGAAATATAGCCTACAGTCCTACAGACTTAGGCAACACTTTTGAGGTACATACAATAAAAAGGAACCACACTACTACTGTTACTCTCGTAGGTCAGCCAACCCACACCAGTTCATTCAAATGATAATTTCACAGTGAGCATACAACAGTGTGAACTCATTATTATTGTCCATGTCTCCATTCACTCACTCATCTGTCCATCCATCCATCAACACACACCAGTTCTCCCTCATCAGTGTAGGCCCTAACAGACAGGATGTCGTGGATCCACCCTGGTGTGACTGTTTCTTGGTAGTAAAGATCGTAGACGTAGTCATCGTCCCGCTCCCGGTGTTCCCCCCCAGGTCTCTCTCCAGATATGCTCAGATGCTCCCGCAGCATCTTCGTGTTGTTACACAGGATTACTTCAGGGTCTGTGAATAGCATCTTCAGAAAAACAAGAAGGAGAAAATAATTCATCACAACTGAGGTTTATCCTGTGCTACTGATTTTAATTTATTTTCTGGTGGATGGAGCATGGTGATATAAGCTTCCTTCTTGATGCCATTTGCCTGCTTTGTGTGGCACCAGTCACAGGGTCTGACAGGCAGTCAGGGAAGAAAGGTGCACATGCATTGTAATTTTCCTTCCAAACCAGTAATAAGTAAATGTGCAGCATCAATTTATCCACAAATTTATATCCCTACTTTTTAAAAATTATTATTAACAGTTTTGTTGGTTGGTTTTGTGCATGCAAAAAGAAAGCACTCATACAGATTCCTGCCAGTGAAATCACACTAGTATACCAACATAAAAGTGGTGGGGAGTTATTCATTTGTTAGACCTGTGAGATGGTGTGTAGCACTGAATGTAAACTTAACTTCTGTTAATGTAGGGGAACCGCATTAGGCACCTTTAGCCATTCATCTACCAGGATGTTACTACCATTGTGTTCCTACCTTTTAAGCATGTAAGGCCAACATGCTTGTTTTCTTGGAACAAAAGAAAACCACTACATTTTTAATAAATGAGTGATCCAAATTCTTCCTAAAAAGGATCCTCAACTGTTTTACACTACTGGTTGTTACTTGAAGCAGCAACATCATTTCTATCACATTTCTTTTTAACTATGAATATCAATTAGGTCACCAATATCAATAAGCAGTAATGTTATGAATGCATTACAAAAACAACTTAATACACATCACTAAATCAGCTACAACAAAACTTAACTTACCTTGGCAGATGACTTGTCCTCATCTTCTACATTCTCACGTATAAGTTCAACCACCTGGACTTCACCAAGACCCCAACATTTGTCCTCCTCTTTCCCAGTTTCCTCTGCCCCCTCAGAGTCATCTGTCTGGGGTTTTTGCTGCTCAGCTGGACTTGACAGCCCGGTACGGTGGCTAGAGACTATTCTGTAGCGTTCCTCCCTTCGGGTGCTCCACTTTGTGCTTCGTAGGTCCCCAGTTATCCGCTGTGAACTGGCAGCAGAGGGGCGCAGTGCGTGGGCCACGCGAGGCCGAGCCAAAGCCTGTCGAACCTGCGCCTGCACAGGAGCATCCTGGCGACGAGATGAGAAAGATAAGACGACAGGTCGCTTTATTGTCTGACACTCAGATACTGAAAGAACCTCAAATATGCAGCATTAAATACTTCATAAAAAACACATCTCACTACATACCTATATTTAAACTCAATCTTCATTGCATCACTGAAAAGTCACTTATTCTATCAAAATGTCACAGTGAGCCGAGACACTTCAATGGTTAGTATATGTAAAGGTAGAAAGAACAACTAATCAGTTTGTAGTTACGTTAACTTGTGTGGGCCATACCTTCTATGGGTGGACCTTTAAAACGGTCTTTACCAGAATGTGTTCAAACTAATTAGCCTATGTAATGGCTGTGACTCAGCTAAATGTCCAGCACTAAGTACACTCTAATGTTAAAGCTACGACAGATTTTATTTGGGATGAAGCCGTGTAATTTTGAGGCCTGCAAACACGTCACAGCTACTTCAAAATAAGCGAACGCTAGCAAAGGCTGATGCAAAATTAGGGACGAGCGTACTGCTAACGCGCACTAGCAGCGTTAACTAGCCTGAGTGCTAGGCCAACAACAACTAAAATAGTATAGCACGCGTGCTGTTTTCCAACGGCAACCATCACTTTAACTAGTTAAATTCAACCAGTCAACTCTTCTACATCGCTGTTTATATCGGGATTTATTTACTTTAAGCTATCCCTAACGTTCTCACCGCCAGCAGCATTATCATTAGCCAGCACGGTAGCTGTGGTTGTACCGGTGGGCCTCTCACCTGTGTCGCTACGGTCGCCACGAGTTTGAATACGGAGTTTTCCACCTCAGCTTCATTAGGCTCCGGTACCGTTTCGCCAGAGCTTTGGGACGCTTCAGGCCGGATACGTTTGCACGCCAACAACAAAGCATCTGCGGGATCTGTTCCTCTTTTTCTCTTGACTCTCAAAATAGTCGTGTTTGAATCCATGTTTTCCGTCTAGACTGGTTTGTCTGGCAGTGAGAGAGGAGAACAAATGCGCCGCTTCACACTCGCTGCCTTTATTTCCGGGTGCCACAAACGTCAAAGCACGGCGAAACCGAATCGGGTGACGGGTGGGGTAATGAAGAGCAGGCAAGAAGGAAATGTCAATTGATATGTTTCTAGAATATTTCGGGCCCTCGAATAAATTGTGTAAGCATTCCCTGTCCTCCAGCCTAAATATTAGATGCCTCCTATTATGATTAGATAAAATGGACCCTGGTTCTGTAAAATGGGCCTGCAAGCCTTCTGAGCAAAAACATCAGTTAAATTATTTTATATTTTTTTCTTTATTGGCATTTATTTGATGATTTACTATTATTTATTATTATATACACTGAAAGAGAAGTAAAGTCATACTGCACTGCAGAGTTGTGGGGGGGCTGGACAGTGACCTAACCTGAACCCTATGCCCAATCCTTGTTCTTTTTGTGTACTGTTCCATGTCCCCTGTCTGTCCATTGATTATATTGCTGTGTCTGTTCCTTTCCACTCTCCTCCTGTGTTTCTTGCCTCTTTCCTCTGACATATTGTTCTCTGCAATGTAAAGCAGTTTACTAAAACATCTACTGTTATCCTTTATAGTGGTTTAATACCAGTACTTTTACAAAGAAAATCAAGTAGCCATACAAAAATTTATTTGCATGGAGACATATAAGTGACAAAACATATTTGTTGCAAATACAAACCAATAGTGTTTCCTAATTAATCCTCACTTGGTAGCCTATTCATTTAGCTTTTAGACCACTAGATATATAAAACATAATGTATTTGTTAATCTAAGCATGGAAAACATCAATGATGACATTTCTGATACTAAATAATGAGAAGTAGAGTGACTGATAAAACATTTTAGCATATGCAGGTAGGTTTTTGTGGTTTTTTATTGTGGCCCATTTTAACTTGGGAAGAGACTCATTTTACAAACTACATTGAGCGTAAGGTAATCAAGCAATAAAATAGCTTTTCCAGAAAATTTGATAATTTTTTAAATATATATCTAATTTATTTCTTAAAGACTTTATCATGACATTGATGATATCAGGAATACTTTGATTTGATTTGATTTGATTTGATTTATTCTTTCAAGCATGTAAAAACAGTTGATATGACAACACACATACACATAATCCAATATGAATTTGCTTATACCTAGTACATGCTTGAATGGAGTAGGAAGAAGTCAGACTTATCCAGTCCTACCCCATGACATCATCTTACCATCATTGGTTTGCAAGCAATAAATGATCCACTTCTACACCACACAAGTATTATACTAAAAAA